GATCATCAGGACGTAACGTCTCAGAGGGCGGATGGCCTCTGCACCATCACCCTCATCACTTCCTGTCCCACGCTGCTGAGATTAAAGAATGACCTTCAATCTAATTTAGGATCCAGAAAATCATTTAAATATCTTCAATAAATTAGAAAAGCAACAATTATTTTATCTGATTAACTTCAGTGAAATTTGTTGTTTTGAAGTAAATCTAAGAATTTTTCCGTCAGCAGAGAAACGATCGAACACGAGGCTGCGGCGCTGCTTCCTGATCCGCCCATCGCCACGCCGATCAGCAGATCCGACTCACCGCTGCCAAGTCTGCACATTTCCAACATGGCCGCCAGAGGGCGTATTGCTCGGCGCCGGCCCGGCCGGGCGCCCGGAGCCGGACCTGCTCCTCGCAGGTCGCCATGGAGATTCCCAGCTATCCCAGGAATGCAGATGGATTCTGCGGCCCATACGGGACACACACACTGTCCAGGAGTGTGTGTGACGTGCATCAGTATTTTGGCAGCTGTGACCTTGCACTCTGAAGTCAAGGGCTTCAAACCCAGTAAATCGGAGCGGTCTCCGTTACAAAGAGCTTCATTCAGCAGCTGGTCGCGCCGGAGCAACAAACATTCCCCAAATCTGCATTTCTGCCGCAGATTCCTGCAGCAACTGAACTCCAGATCGCTCGTTTAGAGCCCATCAGCAGCACCTTTCAATATTTCCATGTGCAGCAGCTTTACAGGCTGATTCACCTTCATCTGATTTCACTCACATTTCCCCCAAATCTCCTTTTCTTCCCAGCGTCGTCGTTTCCTCTGCAGGAACTGAGCCACTAAATTCAACCTGCTCCATCCCACTGGGAAACACGCAGGCTGGGAATGAACACACCAAGTCTGACACCGCAGCGCTGGCTCGGAGTAAAGATGCTGACGGAAACAAACGATTTCAACCATTTGTCAAGGAAAACGTTTCAGTGGAAATTCTGCAGGTTAAAGTTTACTGCAGATTTTTCATGTTTTCTGGTGTCAGATTAACTGGGAAAACAAAACAGCAACTCAAACTGCTGTTAACAATTGAGTGAGGCAGAAAACCAGAAACTGTCCCAGTATTCCCAGTATTCCCAGTGCTGCCAACTGGGAACCTTCAAATCAAACAACTTCTAAATTATTCCTTTAAAATCATATTGAATCTGTTTAATCCACACATCGCTCCGTCTTTTCATGTTCAGCTGAAAAATAAAAACTAAAATAAGAAATTTTTGATTAACGAAAAATATTATTATCATTATTATTATTATTATTATTATTATTATTATTATTATTATTATTATTATCATTATTATTATCATTATTATTATCATTATTATTATCATTATTTTTATTATTATTATTATTATTCACGTAAATATTTTGACAGCTGAAATGATCCTTATGAAGCCCAGCGGAGCAACATTCCTGCCCGAGTCTCTCTCTCTCTGCGTGTGTGTGCGTGTGTGTGTGTGTCCGGCGTTGCCATGGTAACAAGCATGACAGCTTCCGGGTCACAAGAACCCGAGAACCGAAACGTGACGTTGAGATTCTGTCCTGCAGTTCCGGGTTTTTGATCCGACATCAAAACCGAAAAACAAACCAAGAGCTTTGAAAACGCAGAGAGACGATCCAGGAAACGAACGATTCCGCATCACTTCCTGCAGCGTCGACCCGGCCGGTGTGGGTCCGGGCCCGGCCGGTGTGGGTCCGGGCCGGGTGTGGGTCCGGACCCGGCCGGTGTGGGTCCGGGCCGGGTGTGGGTCCGGGCCCGGCCGGTGTGGGTCCGGCCGGTGTGGGTCCGGACCCGGCCGGTGTGGGTCCGGGCCCGGCCGGTGTGGGGCCGGGGGGGTCCGGGGGGGTGGGGGGGGCCGGTTGGGGGTGTGGGCCGGGTGGGTGTGGGGGGTACGGGTCCGGCCGGTGTGGGTCTGGACCCGGGCCAGCGCTCGGCCTCCTCATTCAACACAAACTGACTCAACAGCTTTTAAAACTCTTCATATTATAATCCGGCTCCAAACGCAGCTTTTTAAAACCTGAATGTTACATTTTTATGTCAATAAATGTCAAAATAATAACAGAAACTTGCATAAAAATAACTAATAATCAAAATTAGCCCAAAATGAAGAACTTTGACAATCTATTAGTATTTTTATTATCAAGGATTTATAGTGAATTAAATTTATATTTTAAACATGACAGTTTTTCATTTTTCTTAGATGATTAGAAAACATTAATAATTTTCTGTTTTATTGATAACATTTATTTTCTGCCTCTAAATCTCTTCTAAAAATCAGAAATATTTCACTGCAGACAATAAATAACCAGAATTAAATCTGAAGCTCATTATTGGACCTGCAGGATTAAATGTTTCAATCATTTGTTTGTCAGGAACTGAAAAACTCTCTCATGTTTCTAATGTCAATTATTTTAATGGAGTCTCAAAAATTATTAAGTCTTAATATTCAGCATAAAAAACAACTGGAGTTTAGAAATCCAGATGGTTTAAGGCTGGAGGGCCTCCCAACCATCACCCTCATCTGTGGAGGTTCCTCAAGTTTCTTCAGCTTTGATGATGTAACTTTGAAAAGCCTTGAACTGAAATTAAATAAACCTGATTGATTCAAACTTGATCACACACACACACACACACACACACACACACACACACACACACACACACACACCTGTAAATATGGTGTGTGTGTTTGTGTGTGTGTTTGGTGTATCTGTGCACATCGGCAGCATCAGTGTCAGATAATCTGATGCGGTGGGATTAAGTTTGAGCCTGAATGATGTGTAAGGCTTTAACTGGACCAGACGGAGGATGACACACACACACACACACACACACACACACACACACACACACACACACACACACACACACACACACACACACACACACACACACACACACACAATGCGTCTATTTATGAAGTTTTAATTGCATAACATGCTGTGCTCCAGTTCCAGCCTCCTGGCCCACAGGATGTCCGTCCTACTGGACCTCGCCGCCATCGACTCGGCTTTGGCCCGGAACCAGAGGAGTCGGTCCAGAACCGACACTCAGAAACATTAAACATCTGTTTATATGTGATGATCCGTTTACTCACTTATTAATGAGAAGATCAAAATTCAACTGAAAACAAAATAAAATCTTTTGCTGTAGTTTCCTAAAAAAGGAAAATCATTTTCTTCTCAGAATCAGCAGTAAAATATTTTCTTTTTAAAAGCAGATTTATGAAATTATTTTATTTAAATTGAGGGATTAGCAGCAGTTTTTCTGAGTGGAGCTGTCGGCCCAATCGGGTCGGCTCCAGGATTCTCCTAATTAAAACTGCCTGAATATTCAAACGCTGCGTTAGCATCACAAAGCCGCCGCCG